GAAACTAATTGGCTCATATTTGAAGTCACCTTACTGGCACCACATTCACATCCACTAGCAGCTGAGCAGCTCAGGGAAGTGTTGAAGGGTGCTTCCCAGCAGATTTACATGCCATTACAAAGCAGATATGAATTTTCTGACATTTGTGTATTTGTGATGTAACTTCTCCTGTTACAGTTCATGTGTTGTTATCTGAGTGTAAACACGCCCCAGCTAACACCTAATTAGTTCATGCTTAGGTGAAAAAGGTGATCAGAGTACAACATGTACTTGGTACTTTGTTCTGTGTTGTTCATTCCCTCAAGCTTTTGAGAGGCAGATCGCTCCACTCCCAGAATTGCAGGTTAACATGCATTTGGCCCCAACCAGTGGGGTTGAGGAAGTGGAAATCTGCGAGGATTAATCTGTTAATGTCACCAGGTGGTGGTCACTAAGGGAAAAACTGGAACCACAGATCCCTGCTGGTAAAGGGGGAGGTTTTTTCCTGCATCCCTCCCAACCCCAACTTAGACCACAGCATCATTGTCATTTGGTGGCTCCCTTTAGCTGTGCCTGTCCCAGGGTTGGGACATTCCGCAACAGCAGGACTTCTCAGTCCTCTTGGGAACAAAGGCTGGGTTGCCATCATCCCCTTGAGTCAGTTACTGGCCAGTCAGGTAAGAGGTGTTTCTCCCTAATAGAAAAGGTGGAAGTTGGGTTTGGTGTCTTTTCTAAGTGCCTAAATAAGTAAGCCAGGCTGTTTATACAGAAAGATTTTCATAAGCAAAATGGTTTGACCCACAGTTTCAGAGCATCTCAGCAAGCCAAGGTGAACCTGGGTCTGAGTTTAAACTCCTGGGTTCGTGTCTGCATCATACCTTGTGTAGCTGGTGAGAAAGAGCCACTGAGGAGCTGGAGAGGGAGCCAAGAGCTGATGTTAAAATGTGTTAGAGGAGTTCATGGTTTCTCCAAAATAGAAAAGTGTTGAAGGAGTGACAGCAAAAAGGGTAAGGAAGACAAGTAGCTGGATTTATAGCACAGTATCCAGTGGCTAGAATTATTTAAAATTAAATCTCAAGAGGACAGCATGATATCTAATTAATTCAGGTCTATGAAAATACTGTGGAGTAGGCCCAGGGGGAGAGAGATCTATTTTCAAATAGTGTAACAAAGTGTCTGTCATCAAAATAAATATTCAGAGCACCGGCTTTAACTCAAACTGTCATAAAGTGTGATGTGGAGTCCTTGAAAATCAAGTATTTGTAAGTAACGCATTCAATGCCACTTCTTGCCATCACTTTGAAACTTAAAATGGGCAGAGTGAGCTCGAAGCAAATCTGATGCTTTCATGGGAGATGGAGCCACGTTTGTGTTCTGGAAGGGATCACCTCTGGGGAGAATCACACTTTCTCCTAATGGCAAAATGCTTGTAGGTTTTGCCTCTTTACTTTGTATTTACTTCTGAAGTTGCACTTGTTCACCTACCAGTGTTTACGAAATCCTATATTTGGGATGCTTTTTCTATAATAAAATATTATCATTTGTGTGCCTGGTTTTTTTTTGGAAAAAATAAAATCACAAAGCAAGACACCAGCAGGATAGGAAAGGGTGGCACTGGGATGAGCGAGCAGAGCCTGCTTTCCTCCGACCCGGGCCTCCCCTGGACCTCCGTGAGCCCTCTTGATCTGCCTCTCTTTGCTGGTTAATTTGCACTCAAGACCTCTGGGCACTCAAATCCTGACCCTCTATTTCTTTCTGTGATTTGGCCCCACTCTAGTCAAAAGTGCTCACTCAGCCCTACTTGGCCCGGAGCTTATTGGCACTAATAACCTAAAGGTTGAAAAGCAAGCTGTGCACCCCGAAGCAGGCTACTATTTTACCAGATGGCCCAGGAGTTTAAAAATATGCCCTCCTGGGCTCAGTGGTTCACACTTGTAATGCCAGCTCCTCAGGAGGCTGAGGCAGGAGGGTTGCAAGGACAAGGTCAGCCTGAGCAATTTAGAGATCATATCCCAAAATAAAATTTTTTTAAAAAAGCGTTGGGGGTGTAGCTCAGTGGTAGAGTGTCCCTGGGTTCAACCCCCATAGTCACATTAACAAAAGAATGCACCTTGAAGGCAGCCGATTGAATGTTTTGTGCCTGACCGCAGCCATACACCAACTGGACACAGTTTCTCCCTTCAAGGGGCTTTTATTGTCATGTGGAGCAGACCTGCAAATAGTTCAGGTCACTTAAGAAGTCCAAAAGAATGGAGGTGTCAGTTTTTACTTAGAGAAATATAAAAAAGACTTCCGGAAGTCACTTGTGAACCAAATTGTGGAGAACTGCATGAGGGGAGGAAGTATTCTAGGCTAGCTCAGATACATGCTCGGAGGTAAAAGCTTGTCATCAGGGAAAAGGATGGGATGGTACAGAGATGTGGGCAGAGTAAGGAGAGACTCTAGCTCGAAGTTGGACTCCATTAATAGGAGCCCTAAAGGGTTTTTAGGCAGAATGATGAGCCAGACTTGGAATCTAGAATTTCTTTGGCAGCAGGGAGAACACATTAGAGAGGGGAGGACCAGACACAAGGAGGCCTGTGATGAACCACATAAGGAACAAGGAGAGGCACTGGCAGAATGGATGGCCATGCCCTGAACTCAGGCGCTTACTGAAAACAGCCTTATTTGGAGGCTCCAAACTTTCTGGCTTGGACATCTGGGTAGACGAAACTAGAATTTTCTGAGCCTTGCAGGGGCTGTTTCTGGCAGAGTTCTGAGAAGGGACCTAGGTAAGTTGGGTTAGAAGATAAGACCTCAATTAAAAAGTGGTAGCTAAAGCCACAGCAAGGAGAGAGCACACATTTAAGTGGTGGGGAAATGGACTAGAGAAGGAAGGGTGGGGAGGAAAACTGAAAAAAAAATTCAACAGTGTAAGTGCAGCAGGACAGAGGAGAACATGGGGGGGGGCATTGTAAGTGAACACCAAGGACCAGGGGAATTATAAACCTTAATGCTAGGGATGGCTAACGTTTCACACATGGGACAGAAACCAGACTGTGAGCTGGCATGATAACACATGCCTATAATCCCAGCAACCTGGGAAACTGAGGCAGGTAGATAGCAAGTTTGAGACCATCCTAGGCAACTTAGCAAGACCCTGTCTCAGGAGAAAAGAAATCCAACTGAAATGAGCTGAGTGGGAGAGGGAAATGAGGAAGTGAACAGAAGTGCCTCGACCACAGGGAGCCATGCTGCCAGGCCCCAGAATCCTGGACTGTGAACTTCTTTCCCATCAAATCACGACTACTTAGAATAAAACATCTCTGGGAAGCTTCCCTATGCCACTCAACTGAATTGGCTTTATCGGCACTGTCACCTCGACACCAATTTAATAACTTCACTGTTGATGCTACAGCTGGTGAAGCCCTTTAGTGTGGGAATCCTCACCTCCCACAGATCTGCAGTTCAAAAACATGATGAGCTCCCTATTGTGTCCCCAGAGCGCCCTGTACATCATGGACCTTAAACATTGTTTGAGCAAGATGTTTCTCTTCGGAAATAGAAATTTTAAAAAGTATCAAGGAGTCTGGGTTTTTTTTTTTTTTTTTTTGAGACAGGGTCTTTCTAAGTTGTCAGGGGTCTTGTTAGGTTGTTGTCAAACACGATCCGCCTGCTTCAGCTTCTCAAGTCACTGGGATTACAGGTGTGCCCCACCTTGCCCACTAAGAAGCCTGTTTTTCAAGTCAGTGGTTTTGATAGATCATTTTGGGAAATGTATGCTAAGTAGGATATGAAAAGTACCACTCTGAATCCTTTGAGTTCAATTAAAAGTACCATTTGAGGGGCTGGGATTGTGGCTCAGCGGTAGAGCGCTCACCTAGCATATGTGAGGCACTGGGTTCGAGCCTCTGAACGACAAAAAAAAAAAGGTGTGTCCAACTACAATCAACCAACAAATAAATAAATAAATAGATAAAATACCATTTGGGTTACACACCTAGGTCCCAGAGAGAAAAAGAATGAAGTGATCCAGGAAATGTGCCTTCCAAGCAAATGAGTCTTAAGAAAAAGCACCAACAATCAATGGCAGGGGTCTCCTGTTATGAGTTTTGAAATCAGCAATGTGCTGATTAATCCTGAGTGAATTCATCTGAATTTTATTTTTGAAACTAATTCTAAAAAGAAACAGGTATTAAAACTTCTGATGCATTCCTGAATCAAAGACAGACTCAGGACCATCAATATTGTTTCATTTTAGTATGCACTAAAGCTTTACTAGTGTAACAATTTTATTTTACAACTTCCCCAATGAAAGTAAGAAAGAGAATTAACTGTGAACAAGATCAACTGAACCAGCATTTCCTAAGTTGTTTCTTGGGACCCAAAAGCCTTGGAAAAACTACTAATTCTGGCTACTAAGTCTTTGCCCCTTCTTACCTATTTCTGAGGTTCCTTTACCCAGAAAGGGTCTAAGGAGTGAAACAGAACAGCACTGCTACAGCACACAGCCTCTCAGAGGCTGACCCTGCTCTAATGGAAATGGAAGGCTAAGTCCCATCCTGTAATCTTGGGAGGGGAAAACAAAGGGTTGGGTTGTAAACAGCTGTGGAAAGGGCTCACTTGTTTTGTTTTTGTGGCGCTGGGGGTTGAACCCAGGCCTTTGTGCATGGGAGGAGAGCACTCAACCAGCTGAGCTGTATTCCCAGCCCCAAGGCCCCACTTTTGCACAGGTGCAGCACTTTCGCCAGCAGGTGTCTGTGACCTTGTTGCAAGGGGAGGGCCCACTCCCCGTAACCTTGAATGAGGGTAGAAAGAATATGTGCAGGGGCTGACACAAGTCTTTAGAGGGACACCAATTCAGAAGGCTGGCTCCCTGGAAACCAAATCTGGCCCTAGCTTCCCTGAGACAGGACCGCACTTTGCATAGAGGACCACATCGTACTGTTGTGATGTTCAACAACTAAGGGCTTAAAAGAAGCCACCAGTACTGTTCTGAATTATAAGACACTTTTGCTTTAAAACACATCACAGATTTCCACTACTGTTTTCACACAGTTTATTCAGAAGTTTAAATATTAAAACGTGGGTATTTCCCCCTAAAACAAATCACCCCCTGCCACTCCCCAGCACACATATGCTACTGGTACTCCTGCTACTTCTCCTTACCCTGCTTCCCAAACACTCTTGCAAAACACACTGTGGGTCAGGACCCCAACTATTTGGTAATACAAAGAACTACAATGTTACACAAAAGAATCTCATTTTCTTCCTTTCACAAACAGGCTATGAATGAAAGATTAAGGGTGAACACACTACCTCCATCCGGAGTAAAGACTTCTAGCATTCTTTTTTTTCTTCATCTAAGATGTTAAACCCAGGCGGTTTCACTTAAAACTGTAACTCTGATCCTCTACTCTTCTCTTCTCTTCTGAATGTCTAAGCTGGGCACTTCCCTTTCAAAGCTGACCTTCTCAACCTTGAGACTGAAGAAAGCAGTTTCCAGCTGCAGCTTAGCCATGATGCTCCACAACAGGCAAAGTTACCACACAGGTGCAAATGATGCTTTAATAGTTATCAAAACTTAAAACCAGAAATGAGTAATGCATTAATATGGAACCTCCACATTTTTCTGACACAGCAAAAGTCCTCTGAAGGTGGCAGCGCTGTGACAGAGAAGGCACTTGGTGCTAAAATTCAGAGGGTCTCTTGTGAGAGAATGCCACAGCAGAGGCCCAGTCAGCCTGAGCTGCAGGCGACCCTTTAGGGTGTGGGGGGAATATCCCCCAGAAAGGCATCTGCAAAGGAAAAATTTGTAATCATGATTCCAAGGCAAAATGGCTACTTAAAGTTAGGAGAGGAAAAGACCAAGAGAGAAGACAAAACGATTGCACCAGGGATCGAGGAGTGAACCTTACAAGGACTTGTCAGCCAGCTGTGCACTTGTATTGAGCTGGTATCTTCAGCACTTCCAGGAGGTTCTGCAGACTTCACAGGAGCAGAACCTTTTAGCCAAGAGCTAAGCGCCCTCCTTGCTGTGATCCCAGAATACACTGAGTCCCTGCTGGCAGCATTTACAGGTATTGCTGGTTCATAGCAACATCCGTCTTAGGGATTTTCTGATACAGCCTGAAGACAATGTGAGGGTTTCCACTTGATCCAGAACTCCTTGGCAATGCCCAATGGCTTTTGGGGCCTTCTATGAGCAACAATGGATCAAGCTGTTGTTCTCCCATCAACACTCAGAAGAGCAGCATGAATCTTTTAGATGGGTGGGAAAAGGGAGATAAATCAGTGGTCTGAGGGTCTTTATCCTAGTACCATAAAGTGCACCATGAATGGAGGCTATGAAAAGCCACTTGTCCGAGGCTGAAGTATGGAGAGAAACTACCATCGCTGTCCAGTGGAATGGTGGGTCATTTCCCTCAGCCAAAATGTTGGCTGCTGAGACTGTCATTATTGCTTTATTTTCTTAGTACTACAGAACTTTTTACTGTAAAGAAAAAGAAATACTTGGTGGTCTTGGCAGATGGTGTGTCACCATATCACAGCAATTGGCTGATATTTAGGGAGTGTCCATAAGAATCTCAATAATGTTGGATGATGGCTGTTTTTCCCCTTCATTCTGATGAATTCAGGAAAATACAAAATTCTTTTTAAAACTTCTATCAAATTGGCTCATGATGCTTCTCAAGAAGCAAGACAACTGTTTATGGCCAATGTAGTAGAAATGGCTGTCACTGTTCTTTCAGATTTCAGATGCATTATGGAAGAAAATCCACTTACTATCACATTTCAGGAAATTTGACTATGACATATTGTAGGCTTCCATAAACTCTTTGGAAGCTCTTTCAAAAAAGTGTAAGAAGAAAACTCTGATGTTGTACAAAGAACCCTGCTCCACTCAGGATTCCATGACTAGGATCCTATTTTGCTGCTTTCATATAGGAAGGTATCGCCCCCCTTGCAGTCAGGCCTTCGAAGCGCTTGTAGGTGTAATTGATGAAGACCCAGTCTTTGTTCTTGTAGTCAGTCTCAGGGTGATTACTCGTGGCCACTGGGAAAGAAACAGAGGTGAGAGTTGAATCAGTCTTACCCCAATAGACTATTCAGTACTGAAGGTGTGTCATCCTGAACACACTGCAATTTCTACTTGGAAAATGTTGTTTTTCACTCTGCAAATGTTCTACATTTACTTATATGTTCTTTGAACCCCATATTTCTGCAGAAATATTTTTGAAGATTTATTTTCCCATTTCTGTCATATTAATCTACCTAATCTTTAATAAATAACAAAAGAATGGTTTATGACTTGCCCGCCAACTTGAGCAGTCTAGACATGGGAATTTTGTATTCATTTCCTTTTAACAAGGTCTCACCACTACCCAGCATTAGTATTGGAAAAATACTTACAAAGGATCTGAAGCACTGAAGTTCCTGTCCACGTTTTCTACCCTGATTTATAAACATTGTCCCAAAATTGGGGATGGGGAGGATAATGTGATTTTAAGGCTGCAGAGGTAATGCTGGTGGAATTACCTGTTGGCTTAAGAATATCAGATTCTGGAAACTCATCAAAGTTTGAGGTATCATCAATGCTTTTGATTTCAATAGATATCGCAGCCGGTCTCTCCCTGCCAGGAACAGACAAGCCAAAAGTTACTACGGTTAGTGTTCACATGGATATTGATCAAACCTTTCCCCCCAAAGACTCATGGTCTGACAGGGAAGACTATTCACTGTCAGAAAGCATTTATTTTCTCTGAAAAGCTCATGAATGCTGACCAAATGACTGCATTCAAACAAAATCATTATTTTTATTTTTTGGGTTCTGGGGATTGAACCCAGGGGCGCTTAACCACTGAGCCACATCTGCAGCACTTTTTAAATATCTTATTTAGAGACAGGTTCTAAGTTGCTTAGGGCCTCACTAAATTGCAGAGACTGGCTTTGTACTTGTGATCCCCATGCCTGTCATACCAGCCTCATCTCCCGAGCGGCTGGGATGACAGGCATGTGCCACTACAGCCAGCAACAAGGTAACTTTAATAATGGTGCCAACCAGTGAGTGGGTTAAAAGATATGGCAAAAGAAAGGCAAAATGAAAATCACAAGAATGCAACCAGAACACATGTATTAAATAAAATGACAAGTTCCTCACCTTCTGTTTAGCAAGCTGCAAGTGCTGAGTGAGAAGGTCTGTGGCTACTGCAGGCCAGTGTTCTCACGGCCACTGGCAGCACCCTGCCCTCCACAGCCTCCCTCTCCTTCCCACTGGCACACCCCCCCGCTCTGCTTTTGCCTCTATTTCCTTTCTCCATCTCCCAGGATTAGCCACTAGCCTGTGGGCAGGGACAGTCTTGCTGGTGACCCTTAACACCAGAGAGGTTACATAAGAGCAAAGACAACATATTTCAAAATGGCTCCCTTCACCAAGGGACACAAAGTTCACTGGGCTTTATAAATAATTCTGGATTCAATATATTCCACAGCATATGGCTGATGAGGCCCAACTCCCCATCTCCACAATGAATAAAAATCCAGAAAAGACTACGTTTCTAAGCAGCTCTCTTCCTTTACATAGCTTGCCAAAGATGATTCTTCCTAATCAATACTAAGCAAATTATGAACTTTCAAAAATAATCCTGAATATGAGTATACCTGATATGTTCCCAGTCAACACCTTCAAAAAAAGAATTACTTTTGATTTCCTCAACTCCGGGGGCTCCAATTCTATGTTCCCATTCACAGCAGAACCTGGAAAAGATAGAGGACTTTCAGCACACCTCAAGGAGTTTCTTCAGGCAAAGAAAAAAATAAACTCTCCTCTTCCTTTTTTTTTTTGTTTGTTTTCAAGAGAAGAATGGGGAAAAGCAGGGATCAGACCCAAAGATAATGAAAAAAAGCCTGAGGAGGTGGAGGTGGGGGAATGTTCTCTGATACCTCAAAATTAGATCCTTGGCTTTCTCAGAGATGGGAACTTCTGGAGGAAAAGTCAGAGTTTCTTTCCAGTTCATCACCTTCTTGTATGTCTCCTGAGGGGTCTCAGAACAGAAAGGTGGGTAGCCTGTAATAAAAAGGGAACTTTGGAGCTTTTACATCCCAGAACTTGGAATCTGACTGAAATTATCCTCCTTGACACAGTTCCACATATCGTTGAGGACCTGTGACACCTCTGTACGTCCATTCCTCTATAATAGTCAGGGTTTCCACTTATCCCAGAGACCAATTTTTCATCCTCCCCTCCCCCCACAAAAACTTCACTAAGTCTGAAGTGAAGTTATACTTTTGGTACCACTAGGAAGCCAGTAAATAGTTGCTAGGAAAAGAAAAAAGTGGGAATCACCCTGCTGACAGGATGAAATATCACCATTAAAAAATTACCCATTCTAGGAATACACTTGTATGGGTACAGTGCCAAAACAGCTGAATAGGAAAAAAGCATGGGCTTCAAAAGTGACCACCACGCCTCTTTTTTTGAGAAGTGTGGGCAAGAAGATAAACACTCACATACCCTGTGCCCCACTGGCCCTCCTTGATGTACAGGGTACCTTCCCCTGCACAGGCATCCCTCCATGTCCCACAGACAATGCAGCCCGATGACTCCACACCCAGCTATCCACACACTCACTCTCCTATGTTCAATGGCACATGGCCATCCCCACAGATGTGTCCCCTCTATACAGATATATATCCAAAGAAGTAGAGAGGTCAGAGGCCTCCCTGCTCGAAGGCTTTGAGAGAGGAAGGGGACATAGCAAATTCCAAGTGAAGAGTGAGGCAGTGCCCAGTTAGAACTCTGCACACACTAAGTGTTTAATAAATACAGTGCTAGAGATGCTAGACGGAGAGGATGAAAGCACAGAAGAAAAAAATAAATGATCAGCAAAGCAACCACAGGATGACAGGAAGTCTAAGAACATAGTAGAACACATTTGACTAAGAGTTCTCTATCTAGGAAACTTCACTTTGAAAGAAAAACGGGTCGAGGGGGGCACCTAGATCACCCCCAAATAAAACAGAATCTAATATCAAACTAGAAGTGTTTTCTGGATGCACAGAAAATGTTCTCTGGAAGCATGCAACTTACCAATGAGCATCTCATACATGATCACCCCAAGAGACCACCAATCACACAGCTTGTTGTACCCGGTCTGCATGAACACCTCAGGAGCAATGTAGTCAGGAGTGCCTACTGTGGAGAAAGCCTGAAATACGTACCACACATCAGGGAGGCCAAGCCAGGGAAGGGGTTATGCAGAGTTCTGCTCTAGAGACCAAAGGCTACAAAAGCACCAATAGGAGCTGCCCTGAAACTAAATAAGCAGGAGAGTCTAGGAGCTTAAAGCAAGCTTGAGTTGCTAGGGTGCTTCCCATGATGAATAATAAAGCTTTGTTAATGAGGCAAAAGACCCTTCCTAAATATATCCAAAGCCTGTAATTCACTAGGTCACACGTATCTCTTTCATAACAATTAGTACCATAATTTACTATGATTAAATACAAAGCTCTGTACTTAATATGTGTATTCATCTATTTAAATCCTGACAAAACCTCTACAAAGAAGGACCTTATTAATGCAGTGTTGCAGATATGAACATTGAAATTCAAGATAGATTCGCCTAAGGCCTTAAACTTAAAATTAGTTATATGCTAGAGTGCTGTTCAGAAATTACATATCTTGCTCCAATTCCAATTATCCCTCTTTCTATCATACATATTGTTTGATTTGAGAAAACCATAAAGGAAAGCTTTATTATTAAAAGCTAACATTACACACTACAGATCAAAAGTTTATAAATGTCTCCTTACCAAACTTAATCATTTCTAGAAATAATTATTAGAGAAATATTTTCTTTACTTTTTTTTTTTGGGGGGGGGGGAGTACTTGGGATTAAACCTAGGAGCACTTTACCACCAAATTATATCCCTTTTTTATCTTAAGACAGGGTCTCACCAAGTTGTTGATGGTCTCACTAAATTGTTGTGGCTGGCCTCAAATTTGTGATTCTCCTGCCTCAGCCTCCGGAGTCTCTGGGATTGTAGGCATGCACCACCACACCTGGCTAGAGGAATATTTTCTAGAGTCCAGTATTCTGGTCTAATATACCAGGAATGCAAAATACTAGGAGGAAGTACAGTCAAAGTCTTCTGAAGTGCTTAGCATGTGAGTAAGGCTCAAGTCCAGGTGCTTTAAATACTATATAAGCTTTAAAATAAAAAAATAACAGCTGTGTTGTCTTTTTAAAATATTTATTATGATGGGGCTGGGGTTATGGTTCAGTGGTAGAGTGCTCACCTAGCACGTGCAAGGCCCTGGGTTCGATTCTCAGCACCACTTATAAATAAATAAAATAAAGTTATTGTGTCCAACTACAACTACAAAAACTAAATATTTTTAAAAATTTTATTATGAAATATTACAAACATACAGAAAAAAAGCAGACAATGCAACACACATCCCATAGTAGAGGTTAATAATCTACTCTATTTGTTGCAGTCATTTGTCTTTTTTAAATAAATGGAACTACAGAAACAATTAAAGCTCTGCCTTAAAAACCCATCCCTCTCTCCTCAATGAGGCAGAAACTACCCAGAAGTTGCTGTGCTGTTCTTATGTGAATGTGCTCATAAATTACACATGATTTCTTGTATAAACATTCAATAAGTGGTTTCATACTATACTGAGTTATTCTTCAGTATTACAACTTGCCTTTTTTACTCAACATTATGGTTTTGAGACCTATTCATGTAGCTCTAGTTCATTCTTTTCTCTGGGTATTATTTTCTATTACAGAAATAAATCAAAATTGTTTTTATCCATTTTTCTATACATGGACACTTACATTGTTTCTAATGTTTCACTTTGACAACACCTGAGTAAACATTCTCTCAATATCTCCTTGAGCACTGTGCAAGAATTTCTCTCTATCATATACTAGAGATTGTATATTATAGTAGTTTTGCTGGGTCTTGGGTTACAAACATTTCAACTTAAAGAGCTAACTGCCAGCTGTCCTCCAAAGTGGTTATTCCTATTGAAACTTAGGCGAGGGGATAAGTTGGTGCTATGCACCTTACCAACACTTGGCTTGGTCAAATTGTTAAAATGTTACCAATTTAATGAATATGAAATAAGACGTTTTAATTTGTATTTCCCTTATTTCTAGTAAGGCTGAGCACAGATTTATATGATAATTAACTATCTTATAGTCATTTTGTGAATTTCCTTTCATATATTTTGCCCATTAGTTTTTTTAGTAGTTCTTTTTCTTATTGATTCACAGGAATTTTTATGAATTCAGGACACTAATCCTTAATATAATCTCCTACTATGAAGCTTATTGCTTTTATAATGGCTTTATAAATGAAATAATATTTGCTACATATGAAAAATAAACATTGTCACATCCATACATATGGTACATACATGTGTAATTATTGAATTATGAGGCATAACAATGTAATGAACACCCATGAGTTCAACTAATAAACCAATGCCAGTATCATTAAAGCCAAACCTACACGCCACCCCATACCATCCTGTATCACCTCCTACCTACCTCTATTAATGTTTATCCTTCCTCTGCTTTTCAAAAGAAACTGAATTTTGTTACATCTATAAATGAGATCTTCTTTAGTTTTGGTTTTGAGCTTTATAAAAATGGTATCATTGTATATGAAGGCTTCTGCTATTTGATTTCTCCTCTGATGTTGTTTGTTTCTTTCTTTCTCTCTCTGTTTTGATGCTAGGGATTGAACTCAGGGGCACACTACCACTGAGCTACAATCTCAGCCATTTTTACATTTTATTTTAAGACAGGGTCTTGAAAAATTGCCCAAGCTGGTCTTGAACTTGCCATCCTCCTACCTCAGCCTCCTAAGCAGCTGAGATTACAGGTATGTACCACCTGCCTGACTCAATGTTGTTTTTAAAATTGATCCATGCTATCATAGGTAACAGTAGTTCAGTTATTTTCACTGCTATAAAATATTCTGTTCCAGATGTAACCATTTCCCTGGATTATTTTCAGTGTTTTGCTGTTAGAGAAAAGGCAATAAACATTCTTCTGTATGTCTCCTGGTGTACACATGCATTATCTCCAGGGCATGTGACAGTGGTAGAAGTGCAGGACTTCTGTACATCTGGCTTATCTTTTCATTTGTGTCTTTTGATATACAGAGATTTGTTTTCCTTTAAAAATAATAAAACGAATCAAAATTTTCCTATGTGATTTTTACTGCTTATATCGTTTAAAAACTCTTCCCTTGCTCTGGGAACAAAGATTTTATCTTGTATTTTCTTCTAAAGTTTTATTTTCCTTATAGAGTTGTTTTTTGCATATTGTCAAGTAGGGATCTGTTTAGATAATCATACATTATGTTTTAAAGATACAAACACTAAATAAGAAATTTTTTGGTTTTTGTTGTTTTGATTGTCTGGTTTTAGCTTTAAAGTCTGCAACATGGATTGTGTCCTCCCCCAAAATCAAAGTATTTTCATTCTAATTATAAAAGTAAGAAACTATAGATACTCTTTAAATACTAGATTTATTCTAGCAAAGATGAATGTAAGTAAATCATTTTTGATCAAAGATCATAAAACCAGAGGTCTATTGCCACAAGAAAAGAATTCCTTTAAGATACAAAGGTGTTAAAAAAAACTCTTGGAATTATAAAATATAGCTCAAACCTGTGACAGGAAGAGTGATTCTGTCCCTCTGGGAGCAGAGCCCTGCCATGGGGACTCTCTCATTTTCCTATACTTATTTCCTGCACTGTATGCATCAGATGGAGCCTTTCCAATCTGAGGACTACACCCATCCCAAATCTTTGTCTGTTTTCCATGTAGGGGTACCCTCCAACTCCAACCTCTTCAATCTATACCCTTTTTCATTTGTTGTCTGAGTATTTATAATGTCAATGAGAATGGTCATCTAGAACAGCACTATTGCTGCTTAACAGTGCTTTCAATCACACCATGTGTCCTAAACCTTATGACTTTCATTTCAGAGTTTTAGAAGTAACAAGGCAACTTCATTTCCTACTTAATCACTTCTATAAATTTCACACTAAAAATAAACTGACCAGGATTAAATATCTACATATGCATCATCTCTTACCTTGGTGGTTTAATAACTTCAAACTGATTCATACCTGTTACCTAATCAGTTACTGAGGCCTAAGGTTACTCAGGACCATGTCACAATTTAAAACATTACAGTAAGCAGCCAAGGAAGGAAGCTGAAACCTCTACTTACTAACTATCTATCTATCTATCTATCTATCTATCTATCTATCTATCTATTTATTTGGTATTGGGGGTTGAATCCAGGAATGGTTTAACACTAAGCTATATCCCCAAGTCCTTTTAACTTTTTATTTTGAGACAGGAGCTCACCAATTTGCTCAGGGCCTCTCTAAATTGCTAAGGCTGGCCTCCAATTTGTGACCCTCCTGCCTCAGGCTCCTGAGTTGCTGGGATTACAAGCATATGCCCACTATGCCCAGCACAAGCCTCTACTTTATGATTCCCAATGGACTAAAAAGCAATAGTCTTGGGGAAACAATTACACACATTAGGCTCAACCTGGAGGCAGTTTGTTTATTTAGGGAGCAGGGATTGAACCCTGGGGCCCTTAACAATTGAGCTATATCCTCAGCCTTTTTAATGTTACCTAATGTTTACTTAATCAGTTATTTTTTGAGATAAGATCTTGCTAAGTATCTGAGGCTGGCTTTGAACTTGTAATCCTCCTGTCTTACCCTCCTAAACTGCAGGGATTACAGGCGTGCACCACCACACCAGGCAAATTTATATTAAGCATTAGTTAATATCAACCTTCAGCTTGGTAATAGCTGAATAAGATCATTTAGAAATATCATTAATTAACATCTGGAAGACTGGGAGACTGGGAGAAGGCTTTATTTTAAATTATGCAAAGAGGTAATATGAGGATTACCTTAACTTATACTTTCTCATTTCTATTGTGAATAGAGTACAAATTTAAAGTTTATTCAGACTTTCAAAAATCTTTTTTTAAAATTTTTTTTTTGTAGTTGTAAATGAACAGAATGCCTTTATTTTATTTGTTTACTTTTATGTGGTGCTGAGAATCGAACCCAGTGCCTCACACAGGCTAGGCAAGTGCTCTCCCACCGAGCTGCAGTCCCAGCCCCTCAAAACTCTTTTTAAAGTGAAATTTAACTCCAAATATGGAAACTATGAAATCTCTTTCTTATGAATTTTAAGTGGTCACTAGTGAATCTGATATGACCATTTGGTATCTGTCAAGGAGCATAAAGCTTGTCTGGAATATAAGTACAGTTTAAGGCACTTCAACTTAATCACTCCCAATATAAATGTAAGCAGAGTAAACAAAGGTTAAATCCTAACCTGAAAGGACTGGGGGTAAAGCTCAGTGGGTAAAGCAGTTGCCTAACAGGCTTGAAGCCCCACGTTTTAGATATTCAGCAGTAACTAGAAAGAAAAAAAAAAAAATCATGAAGGATTCCTTACTTTTTGTTAGTTTCTAAAATATAAATATCAGTCCCCCAAAAAGGCAAAGCTATCATTTCAGATCATCTTTTCAGTGGTGGATCGCAACATTAACTACACAGCAGAATCACCCAGGGTTATACATCGCAGACCAAATGAGTCAGCATTTCTGTGGGTAGGACAACAAAGACATCAATAGGTTTTGAAGCTTCCCAAGTGACTCCTATGTATAGCCAATGTTAAGAATCACTGTTTTGAAGGTCTGAGTGGCGCACACTATATATAATCCTAGCAATTTAGGAGGTTGAGACAGAAGGATCAAAAGTCCAAGGCCAGCCAGCCTCAGTATCTTAGCAAGACCCTCAGCAACTCAGAGACCCTGTCTCAAAAAATAAAAAGAGCTGGGGGAGCTGGGGATATAGTTCAGTAGGTGGAGTGCTTGCCTCGCATACACAGGCCCTGGGTTCAATCTCCAGCATAGCACCCCCCTGCTCCCCCCCCAAAAAAATGCTGGGGATATAGCTCAGTAGTAAAGAGCCCTTGGTTCAATTCCCAGTACCAGTGGTGTGGGTGGGAGATGGTCACTGCTTTATACAGACATAATGGAAGCATTTGTCTGTATAAAGTATCTATTCCTGATATTCCCTAAACCTGAACAAACTATGGAAACAGGTTTCTACCACAGATAGAATTTAGAAGTTTAGAGTATCACAGTTTCTAAGGAAAGGAGACAGTGTTGCAACTAATTGTACTAAAGTTTCCCCAGGTTAATATTAGATAAAGACATCAAAGATTCATTTCAAGTTGGGTGGTAAAACATGCCTGTAATTCCAGCTCCTCAGGAAGCTGAGGCAGGAGGATCTTTGTTCAAGATCCTCTGTAACTTAGTGAGAGACCCTGTCTCAAAATTTAAAATTTAAAGGGCTAGCAAATGCCTATAATTTCAGCTACTCAACGAGACTAAGGCAGAAGGATTGCAAATTCCAGGCCAGCCTCAGCAAGACCCTATCTCAAACAAAATCATAAAAAAGGGCTAGGGATGTACCTTAGTGGTAAAGTGCCTCATGATTTGATTCCCAGCAAAAAAAAAAAAAAAAGAAGAAAAGAAAGGATTAATTTAAGTTACTCCATCTTCAAAGGAGTAACAAAATCATCATAGTCTAAAGCCCACTGATAAGCTTCAAAAAATCAAAATAAATGCAAGCCCTTCCTCTGATTTCTTTCTTAATCCCCCAGGCTTCCATTTTCACAAGTGACTGACATCTACTTACTAGGTGACGCACTAAGTGAGTTAATAAAGGTATTACAGAGAAATCTAAGTCAGCATTTTACTAAGTCTGGCTGAAACACAAAGTATTTGGCAAACCTGCTAAATTACTATTATATATGCAGACAAGCAGAAGTTCTACCATTTATTAGATAAAATACACATATAATCATTATCCCAAAGTACAACACATATGTTGTACTTCAAACATGAACCAATTAATTAGCTATTGTTAATAATAAATTTTGGGCTGGGGTTGTGGCTCAGTGGTAGAGCACTTGCCTAGCATGCATAAGGCACTGGGTTCAATCCCAGGACCACATAAAAACAAAACTAAATAAACAAAATAAAGGTACTGTGTCCATCTACAACTAAAAATAAATGAAATAAAATAATAATAATAAATTTTGCCTAGATAACATTTCACTGGTGAAATTAAACTATGTAAATAATTTCCAACTATTACTGTAAATGGAATAAGGTTATACCATCAAGGTAAATGCAATAAGGTTACTTATTTTTAAGCTTGTGGGGCATAATTTTACATGTGTATATACTCAAACATAAAATAATAAAAATTTCTCTTCTAGTTCTCTCCAATTTTGATTACCAAGTACTTTTTTTCCAACACAAAGTAAGAAAACATGAGGCCTATAAATTGAGGAGTCTTAACTTGCCTAAGTGAATTGAAATTTTAACAAGTTGAGAACCAATGCCTAAAAATTCAAGGTAGATATATGCACTTAACTTTCACTGTGAAATCTCCAGCTTAAATATAACCCCCTTCCCAGGGAAAAGTGGGATAGGAAGGAAAAGTATTGTCAACAACCTAAAAAGTCAGAATGAGGTGACCCATTGAAAATGTCACAATCGGGCTGGGGATGTGGCTCAAGCGGTAGTGCGCTCGCCTGGCATGTGTGCAGCCCGGGTTCAATCCTCAACACCACATACAAAACAAAGATGTTGTGTCCGCCAATAACTAAAAAATAAATATTAAAATTCTCTCTCTCTCCCTCTCTCACTCTCTCTTTAAAAAAAAAAAGAAAGAAAGAAAATATCACAATCAAAACAACCCAATATTATCTGCTCTCCTTCAAGATTCCTTTTGGTGCTACCAACATAATCATAGCACTCTATTAAGGTAATCATAAAAGCAAGGGATATTCTACAAATATTTATCATGTGAAAATCCATGTATATTTTTTAAACTTATTCACACTTGGTCTGTAGCATTTCAAAAGCCACAGCTATTACTTACTAGCTGACGTCTGTTTCTTTTCCAGGTTTCTGCTTTCCTTTTGGAATTCATGTTCTGGAAAGCTACAAATAGAAAACCAGTTCTAATCAAAGTTTATATAAAAATGGTTACTATTGGAGGGGATACTCTGGTTCAAGTCATATGAGACCTAAGTTTTGTTTTTTTCTATCTTTATATAACAACTTCAGATGACACATTTCCCAGTAGGTCTGTAAGCCCAAATCAGAGGTTCTCAAGCATTACTAACTCAAAGAATCACATAACAAAAGCTCTAAACAGCACTTATAGGTGGATCATCTAGTCAGAGAGAACACACTAGGTCTTACTCTGAATTACAGGGAACTTAGCCTCAGAAACAAAGGTCCTAAAGTAGACTTAAAACATTCACTGTTTCTCAAAATTATCATCAAATTCCCAAGAGGAGCAATTGTTATATATGCAAGAATTTCTATGTTTAGGATACATTATTTGACATAAGCTTTTCTAGGATGAATTATAATTTAACTATGTAATCTTTAATGACTTGATAGCAATCAAATGTTCAAATAGAAGTAATTCTCATTAAGGTAACTTTTTTTTCCCCTGTCATGACAGAAAGAAGACCCTAGAATAAATCCAGTCTGGAGCTATTCCCAGGACCTTTTCCTTTACTACCTTTGCTTGCCTGCTCCAAATTCATCCCCAGAACCTTCCCAGTAGAGCTCAAAGAAAACTCTTTTCAACATCTGTCTTACCGTACCTGTTAGCATCATCTTGCCTCACCAGACAATGCTCTCCTATCTTTCCTGATGAATCTGGTTGCCAGGGAAAACAGCAATTCCACAAGGAACAAAAAAACCAATATCATTGTTAACACTTACTGAAATCGCTGGGGAGGCTATGGTTCAGATTCCTATAAAATTCTGTCCTATGTGCTTTTTTTAGTCCCGTGCAAAGGCCAAAGTCTGAAAGTTTCACATGGCCCTATGGAGAGAAGAAAAAAAGTGATGGGGATGAACAATTCTTAATTATAGAACAGAACATTATCTTCTGTACCTTCCAGTATTTATTACATCTCTATGGCTAAAGTATACTGCTTTTTTTTCCCCTTTTCTATTACAAAGAAAATTCTGTAATAACACTAAAAAGAGCACCTTGAATTCTACTATATAAATTTAAAAAGTCTTTATTTTTTCATATTATCTTTGGTTTTGTCCAAATAAATATAGGTTTTTAAACAGTTGAACCCTCCATAGCATCTGGAAACATTTTTACTACTTCTTTAATGAACACAGTGGCTATTACTAATGTCTAACGTCAATTGGCACAGTGCCTAATTATTACCTAACCATCCTAATACTTAACCATCCCAATTCTTAGCTCTCAGGTAATATGGATTTTAAGTACCCTATGATAGAGAGTTCTGTATCCCCAGCCCTAACCATACATAACACAGAGCACAACCTTAACGAAACAGTTGTTAAATGAGTAAATAAACAAATATTTGTTCATATAGCTTTTTCTCCTCTTGAATTATTTCACTGGGACAAATTCTAAAAAGTAAATTACTTAAAAGATAAAGGGAATAAATATTATTGCACAGTTCTTAATAAATGTTGCCATACCATATTTTTTTAAAGAGAGAGAGAGAATTTTTTAGTATTTACTTATTTAATTTTTTTTTTTAGTTTTCGGTGGACACAACATCTTTATTTTTATGTGGTGCTGAGGATCGAACCCAGCACCCTGCACATGCCAGGCGAGCATGCTACTGCTTGAGCCACATCCCCAGCCCATATTCTTTCTTTAAATAATTTTTTTAATTGTAGATGGACACAATACCTTTCTTTTATTTATTTATTTTTATATGTGGTGCTGAGGTTCGAACCCAGTGCCTCACACATGCTGGGCAAGCACTCTATCACTGAGCCACAACCCCAGCCCAGCCATACCATATTCTAATCAGAAGCGTCTGACTTCTGATAATGCTTATCAAGGAAACTCACACTCCTATGAGTCAAACACCATGATCAGTGCTTTAATTGTGTTGTCTCATTTATAACTCTGACTCAGTCATTACATAGCTTGCTCGTACAACAGCAAAACCAAAACCAAAAATTAACTGGTGCTCTTTCCTGCCAGACCAGGATTACTTTACCTCTCCCAACACCCCTTATCTCATCTGAAAAATGGGATAATGATATCTTTCTGGCAGAAATGAGAAGTGATGTACATAAGGCTCAAAACACAACACCTGGCACACCATTAGCCCTAAGGAAAAAGCAGGTATTCCTGAGGTGGTGAATTTCTCTTCCCCCTTTACTGGGGAGTGAACTCAGAGCCTTATACGTTCTACTCAAGCACTCTACCACTGATGTATATCCCCAGTCCTTTTTATTTTTTATTTTCAAACAGGGTCTCACTAAATTGCCCAGGCTGGCCTTGAACTTGCAATCTTCTTGCCTTAGCCTCCTTTGTAGCTGGGATTACAGATATGCACCATCAGGCAACCTTTTAAAATTTTAAATAAATAAATGGGGAGGTGAAACCAAACACAGGAAAAAAAAATGCTCAGGTCCCTACTCAAGGTCACAAAATCAGAAATGGTATGGCCAAGGTTTGAGCCCCAATGACTTTAATGTCTGTGGTTTTTCCATGATACCACCTTCTTTGAGGACATTCTCAGGCTTTAACATAAAAATTTCTCAGAGGACAAAGCCACAGGAGCCCTGCTCAGATAGATCAGGTTTTATTGTTTTATTTTAAAGGGAATTCCGTGTATGTGTATGTGTGCACGCACGTGTATGTGTGCGTGTGTGTGTATAACAAGATGAACTGCCAAACAAGGACAGCTTTGAGCTTGCTAACTTGGTATTTCTTTTTACAGATCTGCAAATAACTTGTTCTACAAGCCAAGAACACAGTTTAATTTGCAGTTCTCTAAATTACATGTTTTGCCTGGACACCTCTAAGAAAGAAGATGTCTAACAAAAAGATCAGTACATGGAGCAAATGCTATTCAAGCCCATACTTTTAGAAAATGCTATAGCTATTGTGGGCACACAGCAGAAACTCAGGACTTCTGCATTTCACTCCTATAATCAATGTAGCTGAACACATAAATGAACTTGCTTATGAGAACATTTTATGACAAGTCTGAGCTAGCATAATAGGGGGCAAATCAATACCTTCCAGAATCCCCCACTTCAGCTAAATGAAGTCCCCAAGTTTTTGGCCTTCAACATGTTTGCTGGACATGACTGTGGACTAAGCATTAATGTGCCTGCAGTACAGGACCAGGACATGTGAACTCAAAACCACACGAGGTATGCCAGTGCTTTATTAAAAATATATCTTAGGAAGAGAAAAAAAAAAACAAAAAACAAACAAACAAAAAAATATATATATATATCTTGGGGGGCTGGGGCTATGGCTCAGTGTAGAGCGCTTGCCTACCATCTGTGAGGCACTGGGTTCAATTCTCAGTACCACATATAAATAAATGAATAAAATAAAGGTAGATGTTAACGGACCTTTATTTTATTCACATATACATATATGCATGTATGTATCTGGGGTTGGGGTTGTAGCTCAGTGGTAGTATACTTGCCTAGCATGTGGGTTCGATTCTCAGCACCACATATAAATAAATAAAATAAAGGTCCATTGACAACTAAAAAAATATTTTAAATTATATATATATATATATTTGTGTATGGATATCTCAACTTAATGGCATAGGAAAATATCTCCATAGCATTAATATTTTAAAAGCAGAATTCTAAGCTATTTACATGGATGCTAACTTTATATTAAGTTACACAAAGAGAAAGATATCAAAGCTATTAAAACAGTGGTAACCTTTCAGTGGCGAGATTATACATTATTTTTCTTCTTTATATTATTCAAATTTTCATTTATATGATTATTTTCATAATGAAGAAAAAAACTACTAACCAGAAGAAATTATTTGACAAGTCTCTTGATCTCTTAAAACAAAAAAACAAAGGGTTTCAAAGAAAGATAGAAATCTTCAGGACTTTCAAAGGCAAAAAAAATATAAAAAGACAGCAAGGAAGAAAAATAACACTAGGCATAAAATTTACTTTTATACTTAGAAGAAAAATTCAGTTAAGATAAAAATTCTGCATAACATAAAACAACATTCTAAAATTTTAGAGCTAAAGAGACTTTACAGCTTCTCTAGATCACTATGTTCACTATCTAGATGAAAACAGTGAGGTCCAGATAATAAGAGATTTGCTAAGGTTGGGCTGGGGTTGTAGCTCAGTGGTAGAGAATTTGCCTACTATGTGTGAAGCACTGGGTTCGATCCTCAGCACCACATAAAAATAGAATAAAGGTATTGTGTCCACCTACAACTAAAAAAAATTTATATATATATATATATATATATATATATATAGAGAGAGAGAGAGAGAGAGAGAGAGAGGGAGAGAATACATTTTTAAAAAGACAGAGATTTGCTAAGCTTATCCAAAATTCAGTTAGCAGTATAGAGAGTCTCTTCTAATTTACTGTAAGTTTAGAAACTAAGCAACTATGCTTATTTGCATATTTATATTTATCTCAAAATAAATATAAACAGGCCAGTACAATAGAAGCTGATCGGGGATATAATTAAAAACCTGCACTTGTGCCAGGTTTTTTGTTATTCCTTACTTCCTGGTTCTTGGCCTGGTTCCTCATTAACTGATGAAGCTGCCCAACACAGAGGTTTGGATAGGTAGTGTATTATCAGCATAGTTAATTATATGCTAAGAGAAAATTACTATCTTTGACTTTATTGCAAACTAACCCTCTAAATTAATTTTATTCTTGAGCATTTTCAAGGATGTCTTTTAAGAGGAATGTTCAATCAAACTGCAGAATCATGAGCCTTTCAGACAGTAGAAGTAACAGCAAACAGCTATCAAAAAAAAAAAGAGAAGAAAAACATACAAGGTCAATCACATGGCCCCTATGTCACAGGTGGTGCAGGTGTTATGGCAAAGGCCGCTCAGAGCAGCACACACCGCCTGCTGATACCCCAACACATACCTTGCTGTCCAAGAGAAGGTTGTCTGGTTTGATGTCTCTATGGATGAATCCAAGTTGGTGAATAGAGTCTATGGCTAATACTGTTTCTGCTATATAAAACTGAGTTTCCTCTTCAGTCAGAGTGTCTTTTTTCATCAACAAAGTCATCATGTCCCCTGGAGGTGGAAAAATACAAAGCCACCACCACACATCCACACACAGACACAGACACACAGACACACACACACAAGCAACACATAAGTAAGTATTAGTTTTCAAATATGTATTCTCTATCTGCCAACATAAGGCACATAAACAGAACCCTGGTGTGCACCAATATGGCTGTGCAGGGAAGACAAGTAATAGCTGATAATACTTAAAGGGAAATAAATAAATAAATAAATCACAGCCACAGAAAGCAAAACATTTTCATAATTAAGCTATGGGATACTGACCTCTTTGCTGTGATTTGCATTTTGCTTTTGAGAGGAAAGAAAATTTCTCCTAAACTTAACATTAAAAAAGCATATTTGCTTAGGACAATTATTTGGACTAAAGGGAAAACTACTTTGCTTTTATTTTGCACAAATACCTGAAAATCTCTCTGCCTCTAGAAGCAAATGGCACTTCACATAGGTTGTGCTGCTATTGTTAGAGAAACTGAAATGTCAAACAAAAATGTAAATATCTGGGAAGGCTAAAAACAAGCTTTCCATCTTCTATTCACAAAACACTGGAAGATAAACCAATAAAAAGATAGGACTTCTGCAGCCAAGCATCAGTCAACAAAAGCTGAAAATGTTGTAGACTGGAATGCATAATAACTGCCTCACAGAAGTGCACACTGAACACCTCTCGAGATCAGTGTTTTTTTTTTTTTCCTAGTGTCTTGTTATACAGGTACAACAAATGTATACCAATATCCTTTCCATCACTTTTAAAACAATATCAATTTTAGCAACCTCTTTAGTTTTCTGCAAAGTCAATATTTAGTTATTTCTGCTTAATACAAGCAACATAAAATAGCAGAAAAAAGATTCAGATCCTAAAACTCAACAGTTAGACAAAAGCAAAGAAAATATGCATAAGTAGTTTAAAGATAAAAGATTAAGATAGATTCAGTTTAAACCTTATATAAAGCCATGTAATGTTAGAAAACAAGGAAAAGAGAAAGAAGCCTTTGTTTTAATACAGCATCATGCTGCTTTTTAAATTTCATTTCATTCATAATTTTATTCTTTGTATTCTTGGGAGAAAAGTAGACATTTTTCACTCAGGCAAAAATTACATCTTCTTTTTGGTCCAAGACTTGAAAAATGCATTCCTAATTACTCATGGCAACATTCAATCAGGAGGCACACCAAAGACCAGGGAAGTGCATGCAGACCAACATTAAGCGGCCTCCACTTGTGGCACAGGACAGCAGCCAACAGCTTCACACAGCACCTGTGTGAGCCTGTCCAGGTGACCAGAGAGCTCACTCTAGATGATCTAAGGCTTTGTAGGCCAGCTCCACCAAGTGCAAAGGGCAGGGACCAGGAGGCATGAGAAGCTACAGAAGATGGTGCAGATAAGGTCTGAGGAGACACACATCAAGGAGCTGGTAACCAAGCTGGATTGTAGTTCTATTTAAATACTAGCATGTAAATATTAAAAAGTTTCTCCTCATTCTGCCAGACAGACTCTTTTCTAATCTTGATCAATTGTTAATAAAAAGTATTGGTAACCCTGTATCTAAACTAAGGGTTGTCACAAGATCATTATCATGCCACAATTGTTTGCTTTGCCAAGAACCAAAAAGGAAACAGTTATCTTTTATTTTTCCTCCACCAGAGTTTGCTCAGAATTCATCTGCTCACTGAGAAACAGACTGTGTTCCCCAAAACAGATGGTATGTTTTGTTCTGAGTTTACTTTGAGCAGCCTTAGGAGGGGCACATGCAGAGATATGTAAAACTGGAAATCTCCAAAATGAGAAATTAATTCTGGCTACTAATATAGGCAATGAGAAAGTTACTCCTTATTAATAAGTAATAGAAAATGAAATCAAAAAAGTTGAAGCAAAGAATATTATAGCTTCAATTTTTGTCACTTGAATACCTTACACATTATTCCCATTGACAGGAGGAAAGAAAGCAGAGCTGCCTAATTTATTCCTACACATATTTAAAGGAAAAGGGAAAAGAAAGAACTGTCCATCTGAAATCATGAGAATGAATGAAAAGGTTACTAAGATTATAGAAAGGCACCCCAGCACAAGACAGGCTATTGACCTCCTTTATAGACCTAAAAGAAGATACAGAAAGAATTTTGTGAGCACAATTAAAAGTAGAAAGGAGGGTTAATTGTTGATGTGAGAAAGAGAAACCACAGAACAAAAAGGAAAAAATGACCTTTCATCGTTAAGTAATTACCTCCAGGCAGGAACTCCATGATTAGGTAGAGGTTTAGCTTATCCTGAAAACTATAGAACATTTTCACAACCCACAAACTGTCTGCCTCCACTAGAATGTCACGCTCCGCACGAATGTGGCCAACCTGGAGGTATACGCATTTGATTAATGACAAGCCTTGCTCTGCTTTATTAGACTGCATATTTGCTTAAAACAATTTAAATACTGTTTTGAGTATTTAATTGTGATGATGTAAAAGATCTATTTACGCAAACCTACTAACTCAAAATTGACATTTGATTTGAAAATATTTGGTGATGAAAACTTGAGTGATGAAAGTCTTTTAAAAAAAAAAAGGCAAAATGAATGGCTACAATACAAATGGTGACTTTAACATGCTATAAATTAAACCTCTGATTAGTTAAAATTACCACTCTTTTGCACATATTTTTGTTTTCTTTTTAAATTTTTTTTGTTGTAGATGGACACACAATGTCTTTATTTGATTTTATGTGGTGCTGAGGATTCAACCCAGTGCCTCCCACATGTAAGGCAAGTGCTTTACCACTGAGCTACAGCCCCAGCCCCCATATTTTTGTTCTAATAATCCCTTATGATAAAAATAAGTCCCTAAAGTGAGACTCTCCAAACAAGTCCTCCCTCAGGTCTGCAATAATATCTAAAATGACAGTGACAATTCAAGAATACTATGATACCACAGCATTTAGTTTACCGTGGTACAAAGAATATGTGCTCAGTTAATCCTTACTACATTAAAACATGAGAACATCTGCTGGGCATGGTGGCACACACCTGTAATCCCAGCTTCTCTGGAGGCTAAGACAGGAAGAAGGCAAGTTTGAGGTTAGCCTGGGCCACTTAGTGAGACCCTGTCTCAAAATAAAAAAATTAAAAGGGCTGGGTAAAAAATAAAAGCTCAGTGGTAGGGTGCCCCTGCATTTAATTCCCAGTACTGAAAGAAAAAGAGACAGAGAGAGGGACCAACTAAGAAAAGTTATGAATTAAAATTAATGACATTTCCAGTTTTCTTTTACTAAAATATCTAGCTGAGAGCAAAAAGAGAGAATTGGTAGAATTATTTTGCTAAAATAATGTTTTATAATATGAAATTTGTCATATTGACTTTAAATATATAATAGCAAAACATTGCTACCTATTATGAAATCCCATTCTTCCCTTTTTTTTTTTTTTTTTTTGTTGTTGTTGTGCAAGATCTTGCTATGTTGTGGAGGCTGCGGGCCTCAAGCGTGAAATTCTTCTGCCTTAGCCTCCTCTCCTTAAAAAAGTCACAAGATCCAAAGTTGAGTTTTATCAAGTCTAAAAGTTTTATTTGTACACAATCCAAATCTTTAATAGAGATTTGTGTCTTAATCTATGCTATAAGTCTCTCTCTCTCTTTTTTTTTTTTTTTTTGGTAACAGGAATTGAACTCAGGGATGTTTAACCACTGAGCCACATCCTAAGCCCTTTCTATTTTCTATTTTTTGAGACAGGGTCTTGCTAAGTTGCTGAGGCTGGTTCTGAACTTGCCATCCTCCTACCTTGGCTTCCTGAGCTGCTGCGCCTAGCTTGTTACTAGTCTTTTGAGTTTTTATGTTCCAAAGTAAAAGATGCACCAAGATTCATAAACTGACACTTTCGTTGGCAAATCAGCCCAATGATTTTGTTTTGATTAATATAGTGCTTTACACACTTGTTTTACTGAGGTGCCTTCAACAAGACCAGGTACTCTTCCGTTTGAACACAGCCCAGTCTCTGTCCTATCTTAACATTTACATTTAACCTGCTTTATTTTTCCAAGCTAATTCTCAGGGCCCTGGAGGCATTTTATTTACATATTTGAGTTTTCAGTCTCTACTAAAATTGGTCTTTGGGGAACAACAGCTTCAATTTTTACATTTTTACTTCTGTATTTATGGTATGGGGTGAAAAAAATGTACAATAAGGGTGATAAGGAATAATCAAATAAAGCATCTGCATTTATTCAACCTTACTATAAAAATAAAGCTTTTGGGAAACTAATGCTGCTTGCTGACCTGCAGCCCTGCAACCACAGCTATGGCCCCATTCAGACATTAAAAACTATACAAAGTGGCCTTCGTGTGCCTGTTTCCTTTAAGGCCCCTATCTACTGCAGGGAGCAGAGAAAAGAGGGGCACTACCATTACTACACTCACCTCGGAAGTCAAAATGGTGACTTCGGCATTTCCTGTTTGTTAAGGGGAGAGCTAGTCATTGCAAGCACACCTTGCCATTCTCTCCTGAGGCTGAAATGATAGCCAGGAGTCTCGAGATCTAGAAGTAGAATCAGTTGAATAGCGGAGAAGAAGGGAAGCGCCAAAAAGTTCTCTTTCCTCCATTCTGTAAATATTTAATAGGGTGGGGTGCAAACTGCTACCTGGGGCACTAAGAAAGCAGAGATGAAACTAGGCTTTGTCCTGTCGTAACAGTACATTGGAATCACAAGTAAAGGTTTTTCTTTGCTCTAGAAACATCTGACACCAACTAAATACTAATGTCTTATCCTTTAAAATTTTTCCAAGTAGAATAAATTTCCATCTTATAGAGCAAAATAACAAGCTGAACTCTCTTAATTCATCTCAGTTCAATAAAGTCACCAAAAAATAAATAAATAAAATTTCCTCTGGATAGGCACCTGCAAATATAAAAAGTTAGGCTTTGAATCTAAACTTTGTCAGTTCTACTCAAAAATGATAATGGATTTGCACTGGGCAACTAACTTTCACCTGTGCTCCTTCGAGATGTTAGACCTACATAGAGTCTATGGTCATAGACTTTAACTGGACTATACCAAGATCAAATCAAGGTAACTGGTCCATCACTTAAGGTGAGCTAAACAATTAAGTTAATGTTCCATTTAATGCATAAATTAATGCAATGTTTAAAATCCTAATTATAATTAGATATGTCTTTTATTTTCATTGAGAAAAATCTAAGGAATTCATTTTTAAAAAGGTAGGACATTTGACAAAAGGTTTGGATCATTAGATACCATGTTGAGCACATGGCACATGCTATGTGGAATTAATAACTCTGAAAGTCATAAAATTATTACTATACTTTACAATTTTCTGCTGTTAATTATTTGATAAGTTTTAAGCCTTCATTAAAACTATAGAAAGCATGTCTTATAAAAATAAACCTTACTCATGAAATGCAAATAATAATGACTAGTCAATAATAAAAATGTTATATTTTCCTTCTCAAGATTAACTGTCAAAAAAAAAAAAAAAAGATTAACTGACATACTTTCAATACCTATGCACTCAAAACATACACTAATTTCTAGATAATACACAAACAGGGTTATACTGCATTATTTATTTATTTATTTATTTATTTTCAGTATTAGGGGTTGATCCCAGGAGCATTCTCTATTCTACTATTAAGCTCTACTCTAACCCTTTTTATTTTTTTGAGATAGAGTCTGGCTAAGTTGGCAAGGTCAGTCTGAAACTTGTGATCCTCCCATCTCAACCTGGGATTACAGGCATGTGCCACTGTGCCTGGCTTACACTGCCTTTTGCATAAGATTCACATTAGCTTAAAATACAGCATCTGAAGATTTATTGCCTGAGAATCTGAAACTCCAAAATTCCTAGGAGTCTAAAGCTTCTGGGTAACACATGAAAATTAAACAGAAAATAAAACTTCCAAATTTTGGAGGTGGCACTTGAATGAAGGCAGAGAAGACTCCATCATTATGCTACCTCTCAAGAGGTAGACAGGACTGGATGTAGGGCCCACCTCCATCCTGAACCTTGGACTCTACAGAGAAGCTCTCCCTGCCATTGGATCCTATAACACTGGACCTTTTACAGGACAGTTGAGGAATCACTCACAACAATCCATTCTTAAGAAAGCAGCTAACTAAACTAGATTTACAAAAAGTCTGTCTCACTTTTTTAAAATATACCTTTCAATATTTGTACCTCACTTATGTTGCATACAGAATTTATGTATCTCAAAGAACTATTTGCAAAGTGGATTCAGGTTTTAGAAAGCACTGAGGTTTTTGGGGGGCTGACGTGCTAGGGCCTCAGTCATGTTAAGTAAACACTCTACCACTGAGCTACATCCCCAGTCCTTAGGAAGTGTTCTCAATCATTAAAGGAAAAATTGCATTGCTCTTCCATTTGCATTATATTTTTAAAAATTTATTCAGATATTGGAAGATCAGTCTCTCTCAGGTAATGATGAGCTACCTAAAAGACCTAACTTTGGTTTAAGTGGGAATGAATGAACTTACAGAATGAAGCACATTGAGATACACCTTACAATGTCAATTCTAAACTCTCCTAGTCCTCAGTTCCAAGGTGTAAAAACACTTCCTATTTCTCAGCATTTGATAAGCATATCGCACTAAGTATGACCTCAAAAAGAGGTTCTCATGACAAGACTATCTCCTAATCAAGTGGGAGACTCATACAACAGCTGCTTCTGTAACAGGTTTTCAACATTAAAATGACTACCCATAGGCATGATTTGCAATTTTAAATATGTAACCACTTCTTTGTAAGGGTAAAAAAGTAGTTATCCTATGTATAGTTGTACGTAACAGAGCTAAAGAAAACTATAATAAAATATACATTGCAACTAAGAAAATAGTTTTAGAGACAAAAAATTCAGAGGATAACCAAAAGTACTGTTCCAACTATGCTTTACCTGCTCTTTTTCAAGCATATCTGCTTTACGGAGGATTTTCATTGCATATACATGCCCTGTATCTTTCTTCTGAACAAGCCGCACCTTAAAAAGTCAAAAGAAATGCCAAGTCAAAAGTCCATGCTACCAAGTTCATGCTTTCATGTGTTATGACAAAGACAAGGATGTTTTGTTTGTTTGGGGTTTTAGTAGGGCCCAAAAAGTTAAATTGAAACAGTATCATAATTTGAAATAAGCAAGTAGTAGTTAAAGAAGCAGAAGAAAATGCTTTCAGCATCTCAAAACTTAGTAGTACTGTCACTGTTGGTAACATTCTCAAACATCTCTATATTTGAACAGCTTTGGCTCCCCAGTTGAGCAAACCAATCTAATTTAAAACCTTCTCAATTCCAAACTTAAGGATGAGTTAAATCCCCGGCATGTTATCTCATCACATCTGAAAACTTAAGCAAATGATTATAACAACATTTACAAATAAAAGTAAAAACTCACACAGGAAAAATGTCTGGAAGTAAAATGTTAAAGTTTCATGCAGTTTTTTTTTTTCTCTTTTATATTTTCCAAGGTTTTAAAAGAGAACAGATAATTTTATGATGAAAAGAAAATTAATAGTCTACAAACCAAAAGAAAAACTTCTTGGCACATTACTGCATATCCTCCCCTTCTCTCCCAAAACAAAGTTCTCTGTCCCTTGCTTCAAGTTTTTCCTGAGTCCCATGTCCCTTTCTCCCTGAGCAGAAAACCATTCTAAGATTTTTTTTCCCTCTCTCAAGGGGTCTCAAAAGTGATTCTGAATACTAAGGGATCAATTTTATGTTTCACTCGTGCCTTTGAAATATTACATGTCCCCTGAGTACTGGTTTTTAATAATATGCTACTCCTTCTATACAAAGCTAATTTAACTATTATATGAGCAAGTCACCCACTTAGGGTGTTTCCCATTAATAAGAATGTTCTTTCAAGGGCTCAAACTCCTGCAACAGCTTGATCTAGTGATCAAACAGAATTCATTTATAAGCATAGCTGGGGAAAGGGGTTAGGAATGAATGTAGCTCAATGGTAAAGCACTTGCCTAACATGTGTGAGGCCCTGAGTCTAATCTCCAGCACCATCACACACACACACAAAAAAAAAAAAAAAAGAAAGAAAGAAAGAAAGAAAAAAGGAGTATCTGGGCCAGGGTCTGCGGACATAACTCAATGCTTGAGTACCTGCCTAGCATGAAGCCCTGAGTTCAATCCCCAGGACTATTATGTAAAATTATTAAAAAAAAAAAAAAAAAAGGAGGTGGTCCAAAGTTGCAAATGCTTCTAGTTCTCTACCACTACCTATGTAACTCCTTTCTGTAAATTCTCTATCTTAAGGCTATCTTTTAAGAGATATATGAATAAAGGGTGGAGATATATTACTAGTCTGCTCCTGGAGAAGTAGTGTGGTACTGGGAAAAACAAAAGCCGTAAGATCAGACTTAGGCCCAATTTCTGGTCCTGGTGTTCAACTGCTGTGACATTGAGTCTTTACATACCTCCTCAGGGTATTTAAAAAAAAAAAAAAAAAAAAACAAGCACTCTACTGACTAAGCTATATTCTCTGCCCTGATCTGTAATCTTTTTTTTTTTAGTATTTTATTTACATTTTAGTTTTCGGCAGACAGGACATCCTTGTTTGTATGTGGTGCTGAGGATGGAACCGGGGCCGCACCCATGCCAGGCGAGCTCTCTACTGCTTGAGCCACATCCCCAGGCCCTCCTCAGGGTATTAATTTTAAACTATAAAATGGGTTTTTGTCATGATTATAGGAGAAAAACACTGAGTAAATAACAAATTGATTTCCTTCTACCTTTCAAATCTCCCTCTTGATCAATATTTAAAATAGCAACATTATCTCTGGCAAAAAAGAAAAGAATAGAGATCGGGGTCAGTGAAGAAGGGATGAATGAGAGAAAGAGGCTAGACAGAGCAGGTAGGACATGGGCGTGCATGCCTGACCCACCAACCCCCACATATTTCATTTCAATAATGATATGTTAGAAACTTTGGAAATACTTTGGGGTTTTTGGTACTTTACAAGCAGCTATAGTTTTTACCTCACCAAATGCTCCTCTGCCTATGACTTTTAAGGACTCAAAATCTTCCAATCCAAGTCTTGTTCTCTTCAAACGAAGAAACTCTGTCTCCTTCCGAGCATGTGCTGATCTCCTGAGTCTTTTCTAGTGTTCAAGAAAGAAGAAGAAAAATAAGGAGTTGAAATTATGAAACTCTACAACTAAGTCATATGTGTGTCTTGCTCTGCTTGAGAACAGGGCCACACCAGACTAGACAATCTCACATGACAGTACAATAAAAGGATCGTTAAGAGATCATTTGTCCTTTCCCTGGCCTTCAGACACAAGAAGCAAGCCACATTGAATAGATGGCTGCCTCCTCTGAAAGCTCTAATCTACTTCAGCAATGACTATTCTAACATTTCTAATGGAGGAGAATAAACAATGCTTTCTTTTAACCTTTTTTATATATAATAAAAGTTATGTTTTTCTATTTTTCTCTGGATTTTTGTTGCTATTGTTTATTTTGTTTTGTCATAGTTGTTGTTTTGCAGTTCTGAGGATGGAACCCGGGGAGCACTTTACCCAAGTACCTCCCCTGCCCTTTTTAGTTTTAAGACAGGGTCTCACAACTAAGTCACACTGAGGCTGGCCTTCAACTTTCAATCCCGCCTCAGCCTCCTGAGTTGCTCAGATTATAAGCATGAGCCACTGTGCCCAGCTCCTCTGGGTTTGCATAAATGCTACATATGGTTTATTGTGTGCTTGAATTTTCTATTATTCTTACAAATATTGCATATTTTTCACAACCATCTTGGGTTCTGTGATTTATTTCTATTTTTGAAGGCATTCCCACTGCCATTGAGTTATTCTGCATAGTCCTTTAATAACTGTATTTTCTCCTACCGAATTTGTAGGCAGTGGGCAGAGGGCTAATTTGAGATAGGTAATTTGCCTCATTTCCATGGAGTCTTTTCACTAAACTCATAAGAATGCTGTATCTTGCTATATTTTAATTTGATCTCATTGACTTCATCCTTTTTCTTGGAATTCTAATCTAGGCACAAGGGTGCCTAAAGAAGTCTTCCTTTCCAGGGTATCTAATAATTAACTTCTCCCTCTTCATGAATACCCAAATCCAGAAGCATGCCAATCCTCAAGTTCCTTTGTAACTCAGCCCAAACCCTTCCTCCCCGGGCACCAAGGCTAACTTGAGCGACATGAAACAACTTTCCATGCTGGATTTCAAGGAAGATTTTTCCAGTATTAATTACCTCTTCATCTTTTAGGCCTTCCTCTTCCATCACTTTTTCTAACTTCTTTTGTCTAAAACAAACAATAATAACAACAAAAGATACATGAAACAATATTTGAATGATTTTCTGGAAATTCTATACAAAATAAGAAATAAAAAGGGTCACACTCAGAAGCGCATGCCTGTAATTCCAGTGACTTGGGAGACTAAGGCATAAAGATTCAAAATTCAAGGACAGCCTCAACAACTTAACAAGACCCCATCTCAAAAATAAAAATAAAAAGGGCTAAGTATGCACATCAATGTTTATAGCAGCACAATTCACAATAGCTAAACTGTGGAGCCAACCTAGATGTCCTTCAGTGGATGAATGGATAAAAAAATGTGGCATTTATACACAATGGAATATTACTCAGCAATAAAAAATAAGATCATGGCATTTGCAGGGAAATGGATGGCATTAAAGAAGATTATGCTCTGTGAAGTTAGCCAATCCCAAAAAAACAAATGCCGAATGTCTTCTCTGATATAAGGGGGGTGAATCAAAATGGGGTTGGGAGGGAGAGCAAGGGAGGAAGATTACCTCTAGATAGGGAATAGGGGTGGGAGGAAAAGGGAGGGAGAAGGGGAATAGCATGGATGGTGGAAGGAGACCCTCATCATTATACAAAATACATGTATGAACATGTGAATTTGGTGTCAACATACCTTATATACAATCAGAGACATGATAAATTGTGGTATAAAGATGTATTAAAAATTGTAATGCAAAGAAATAATAATAAAAAAGGAATAAATATATAGCTTGTGAGTAAAGCACTCCTGGGTTCAATCCCTAGTACCAATAAACAAATAAATAAAGGAAATATAGTTCAATAGTAAAATGCCCCTGGGTTGATTTAAAAAAAAAAAAAAAACTGTATAATGTGTTAATGCAATAGAGAATCTTGTTTTGAAACCAAATGTTCTTTTTTTTCTTTCTGTTATTTCCTCCTTACCAAACCACAAAACAGGTGGTATTTGATAACTTCTTGTATCAGAGTGCTTCTTTCTCTCTCTGTGACTGAAATCTACTTCCTTTATTTCACACCTTCTTCCCCCTTCCTGCCATGAGTGAAGAGTAATAAATAACAAAGGTAGGGCTGGAGTTGTAACTCAGTGGTAGAGCACTTGCCTAGCATGTGTGAGGCACTGGGTTTGATTCTTGGCCCTACATATAAATAAATAAAATAAAGGTCCATCAACAACTAGAAAAAAAATATTTTAAAAAAATAATAATAGGGCTGGGGATATAGCTCAGTTGATAGAGGGCTTGCCTCGCATGCATAAGGCCCTGGGTTCAATCCTCAGCACCACAAAAAATAAATAAATAAATAAATAGATAAATAACAAACAAAGTTAAAGGCAGAATTTAAAGATGAGGAGGGAGGGCTAATCCAAAAAGGTGATTGACACCACTATCAAAACTTTAGATTCCAAATTTTTGGAGTACTAAATAATGGGGGTGGGGAGGTAGTGCAAGAGATTGAACTCAGGGCCTCCTTCACACCCCTAGCCTCATGGGAGAATTTTGTTTTTCTTTGTGGTACTAAGGATTGAACCCAGGGCTTTGTGCACACTATATAAGCAGTTTACCACTAAGCTATATTCTGAGCCCTCAAGAATATTTTTGATCTATAGTTTCACAGTGATTTGATAAAACGCAAGAAACACATGCAAAACTTCCTTACAACCAATTCTATAGATCCAATCTTCATTTATTCAACATAATTTTTTTTAAAAAGTACAAGGGCTGGAATCTCTCCTCACCACTTATCAGCATTTCAGATAAAAAGGCAATATGAGGTGGGGACGAATAAAAGTGTAGAGTAGGTGAAGCAAAGCATGTAGCCAAGTGTGGCTGACGCACACAGCACTTCCAATGCCACGTCAGTGTTGGCTCTTACTCTGAAGACAACTAAGAGCTAACAGGTTGTATGTAAAATGTGATAAGATTTCTATCTTAGAATACTAACTGGCAGTAATGAAGATCTGATGGACTGGCAGGCAGGAACTGCAAGTGACTGAGAAAGACCTAAGGCTAACTAATTCAAATACACATTGAAGTTCTGGTACTAGGGCTGGAAAACTAGAATGAAGTGAAAGAATCTATTATAAAGATCAACTGCAGGGGCTGGGGATGTGGCTCAAGCGGTAGAGCGCTCGCCTGGCATGCGTGCGGCCCGGATTCGATCCTCAGCACCACATACAAACAAAGATGTTGTGTCCGCCGAGAACTAAAAAATAAATATTAAAAAATTCTAAAAAAAAAAAAAAGATCAACTGCAGTAGGAATCACAGAAAAAGTCTTAAAAATTTCTTGTCTGGGAGATAATGATGTCCCTGACCAAAATAGGAAACAGAGAGAAGAATATAGAAAGAAAATGATTCTAATTTTGGCCAAAGACAACTTATTATTAATAATTCTATTTAGTTAAAATGAATATTTTGTTAAAATTCATTTTACAAATCTACAAGACCAAACAATGAGTAAGAATTTTTCACCAAACTCTCAAGAAGTGTAAAGATCTACTCTGATTCTGATGGAAAAAAAGATCCCAGTACATGGCTCCCCCCTCAGTCTCACCACTCTCTTCACACAGTTCCCAGAATATTTTGGGATATGAATCTCTGTGTGCATGTGTATTTGAGGGAAAAGGCTATACTTCTAATAATTTCAGGAGTATAAATTAATTCCATTTCTGTGGTTAGATAGTTAAAATAAGGAAAAGTAAGACACAAAGCTTTGAGGCTGGGCTTGGGGCTCAGTAGTAGAGTGCTCGCCTAGCACATTCGAGGCACTGAGTTGGATCCTCAGCACCACATAAAAAACAATAAAATAAAGTTAAAAAAAAAAAGACACAAAGCTTAAATAGTAACTCAATATGGTCAGTTCTTTTTGTGCCTGGAGTACCAAACACCATCATACCTCATGACTATATTTTTGTTGAAAGACCAACCATACCAGACTGATCCATAAGTCTGGTGCATTATCCACTATGTCACAGAACAGATTCCTTCTGACTATATTTAAAATCTAAATACAAACTTGGAGGTTTTCCACAATCTTACCTCCCTCAAGTGTAATTAAGTTGATTTCAATAGAATGCCTGCCTGGGAATAAAATATCAGAATTCACTCCTTGAACACAATGAGATTATCCCATTAGAGAAAGTATCCAGGAAAAAAAAAAAAAGTATCATGGCAATGATTTATTGGTTCCTGAACCACAAAGACCCTGACAACATAAAAAATAGCAAGCATAATCTAAAAGAAGGCTTAAAAATGGCATCTTCTGGCTGGGATACAGCTCAGTTGGTAGAGTACTTGCCTCGCATGTATAAGGCCCTCAATGTAATCCCCAGCACCACAAAAAAAAAAAGGCATTTTCTGTGGGATGATACTAAGGAACTATTATTAACTTGGTTAGATTCATGATTACGCAAGACAATGACCATATTTTTTGAAGATATACATTGGAAAGAAATGATATTTAGAATTTACTTTAAAACACAATTAGAAAGCTGGGCATGGTGGCACACACCTGTAATCTCAGTGGCTCTGGAGGCTGAAGCAGGAGGATCTCGAGTTCAAAGCCAGCCTCAGCAAAAGCAAGGTGATAAGCAATTCAGTGAGACCCTGTCTCTAAATAATATATAAAATAGAGCTGGGGATGGGGCTCAGTGATTGGGTGCCACTGAGTTCAATCCCCAGTACCCAAAAAACAAAACAAAACAAAACCAACAAACAAAAACAATTAGAAAGAACCAGGCGCAGTGGCACATGCCTCCCAGTGACTTGGGAGACTGAGGCAGGAGAATCATAAATTCAAAGCTAGCCTCAGCAATTTACAAGGCCTTAAGCAACTTAGAAAGACCCCATCTCAAAATAAAAAATAAAAAGGGCTGGGGATGAGGGCTGGGGTTGTGGCTCAGTGGTAGAGTGCCTGCCTAGCACAGGTGAGGTCCTGGGTTCGATCCACAGCACCACATAAAAATAAATAAATAATTAAAGATATTGTGTCCAACTACAATTAAAAAATAAATATTAAAAAGGGGGGGGGGGGTGGGGGACTGGGGATGAGGCTCTGTGGTTAAGTGCCCCTGGGTTCAATCCCTGGTACCAAAACAAAAGATAAACAAGCGAAAAAGCACAATTAGCAAGAAAAACTGAGATAATGGACATAAATATAGCAACGTATTAATAATTATTGAACCTGAGGGATGAATATATTGCGAAGAGGCTAAGTGTATTATTCTGTGTTTGTTTTAAATTGTTCATAAAGAAAAATAAAAGTAGGACCCTCTAAAGTAGGTCCTCCTACGGGATTGCTCACTCACGGTGGCAGCACTGGCTAGCTACCACTCCGGCCTTTGGTGGAGACACTCTGCTACTCATCTCCAACATTCCAAATCAGAATCTTGGAAGAGACCCCAGGTCACTTTCACAGGGAGAGTCACATCCAACCTCACCCTAGCAATGCCTTTTATGTGCCCCATTTATTTGCATGTGTGCTCATTTCCCATATGAGATAGTTAGGTTATTTGGAGGGCAGGACCACATTTGAATCCCTGATTTCCACATGAATAGTGCTTTGTACACATCTACTTTTTTAACCATATATTTCTAATTTTTATTTTGTCACTGATTTACTGGGAGTTGAACACAGGAGGACTCTTTTTATTTTAAGATGGGGTCTCACTAAATTGCCCAGGCTGGCCTCAAATTTGTCATCCTTCCTGCCTCATCTTCTCAAGTTGCTGGAATTATAGAAATGCACCACTGCAACCAAGGTTTTGTCTTTAAATAAAGATCGGAATGTGTCAAAATGTGTGGACACATTCCTGACTACTACTTATAATGAGCTCCCTTTTCTAAACCTAATTTATTCTAATTTCTATTTATAAACACTCAAAACTAATCATACAGATTTTTAATTTTTTAGTTGTAGATGGACAGCTTGCCTTTATTTTATATGTTTAACTTTACGTGGTGCTAAGGATCGAACCCAGTGCCTCACACATGCTAGGCA